CCGGTCATTTCCCAACCAAGCAACTCACGCCACAGGGTGGAAGCAGAATCTGAGAAGGAGCAACCCCAATCCATTCTCACTGCACCTACATGAGGACCATAAAGACTAACTGCACCTACAGATAGGGCTCTTTAAAGTTCTAGAAACACAAAAAGACAGCGCACACCCGAGGGCATTGCTACCACGGGATCTTTGTGAATACGGTACACTTTCTGCAGACTTTTGTGCATCATCGGATAAAGACTTAATGATTGTGACAGGACGTCTCCCATGTTAGGCTTACAAAATGGTCACAAGCCCCACAAGTCTTTCTGATAAACCCAATGGGCACTGATGTATTTCCCCGCTCTCTGTCTAATTGGTGTAAAGTTTGCAGATCTGAATCACCGATCTTTTATCCAGCTTGCTGCGTCCTCTCCTTTGACATGAGGTCAGGGTTCACATTCGCATCCGATTATCGAAGTGGCACTCATTAACCGGCAGCCTGCCTCGCACCAAAATGAGTTCGCTGGAAGGGGAACTCGGCCCATTTACTCAGCAGATTTCAGCATTTTAAGGAGGCCTGAATGTCACACAGCATTGCTACGTTTTGAGGAGTTTCAGACATCTCCAGCTGATGATTAATTGTGAGTGATGGGAAATAAAATCCAGTAAAGCCAGCTGCTTGCCATGGTCGGCAAAATTACTATAATGGATATAGGCTGCCAATTTTCCAGTTTTACTGGCAAGTCTTCCAAGTGTAATTAAGGGAAGTTATAAATGATATGGAAATCTATCAAGTCCCATTTATTTTCAGAGGACTCTTTCCCCTGAGACTTTTATCTTCAAGCTTATAGTTTGCTTTGTTGTGCTAATGATTTAAACCACTTCTTATTTCTGATTAAAGCCCCCAATATCCTTCACAAGAAGTTAGATCCACTTTATTCAGAAGGATTTAAAGAAACAGAAGCCTTTTTAAAGTTGTGTTTGTAAGCCATGCTGAGCTCCCACTTTCTCTGTGTAGGCATAACAGAGCATCCTCCATCTTAGGCACCTCACTACCATCTAGATTTCTGCTTCTGGCAGATTCTGAAGATTGGGAAAGATTTGGTGGGGGAGGAAGGTGGGAAAAGGGGGAATTAAAAAAAAAAATTAAAACATCCACCATTAACAAAGCCCCAACTTGCATCCAAATCCTAAATCCTCCAAAACAAAGATCGTAGGTGCTGCCTTAGATGCTAGGCATTTAGCACAGAGTAGTGTTTCTCACTAATGTTGTTTGATTTGGAATAAAAGCATGAAAATGATGTGCAAAGGCCTAAAATTGGAGATGTAAAGGATGACTGCACAGTATTCCATTTCTCAATTTCATCCTTCAGAGCCACAAAATGGGGGTGATACAGTTACTGGATGAGATTTACAGTAACAGCTGTGGTCTTCCCACACAAGGGAGGACCTTCTAATGGGCTAAGGTCTGTTTTGAACAGACGGGGAGTAGCAAAACAAGGTTCCCTATTAAGGGTGTGCAGTAATATTCCTGATAAAGAAAATGAGTAGTCATAGTCAGATTGCTTTAAAAGACCTAAATCTCCTTTTGTTGTAAAAAAATAAAAATAAAAATTAAAAAAAAAAAATAGTGCTATTTTAGAAAATGCTAACTCCTAAAAAAATGAAAGACACGTAATGTAAGAGTTTGGTTTTTT